AATGAACGAATGATAAGCAGCAAAGAGTCGGTTTTACTTTTAATTGAAACTGAAAGTGTTTAGGTCGTTTTTATTCGAACGTTTTTCCAACTCTGTTTACAAGGTGGCTCAGTGCCTTCGTATCGAGGGTGGTTCATGGGGGTTTTGCCCCATTCGATTTTTAATTTGTTTTTTCTATATTTCGGCTCTACTAGGGTGGGGGATGCCGTGGTTAAAATATTTGCACATATTTCGCAGTCACCCTGTATACGTCACCCGTGCACTCCTAGCACGTCACCCTTATAAAGTTCTTAAAGATTCTAAAGCTTTTGAACCTCTGAAACCTCCAGGACGTCCAAACTCTCAAAAGTCTCTAAAACCTCTTCTAAGGTCTCTAATGTTTATAAAGACTGTAAAATACCTAAATTTAGAAAAACTAAAAATAAACTTCTAAAGATCCTAAGGCCTCCAAATCTGGAAAGATTTTAAAATTTCAAGTTTCCAAGAACCCTGAAGTTCCTGAAGTGCTTCTTAAAAACCAACCTCCAAAGTTTATAAAATTTCTAAAACCTAAAGCCCCCAAAATCTCAAGGTTCTTAAAGTCTGTAAATTCTCCAAAATTTCGAAAGTCGTTAATTCTTCTTCGAAAACTCCAATTTAATAACGTTGTAAAGTTTGAAGAATTTGATGTAATAAAAACAGCAAAACTTATGTTGTATTTTTATATTCTGCAATATTTTCAGTTAGAACCAAATTCCACGCGTGGGTACAAGTGTTTTTGATGAATTATTGTTGTTATTACATTATACTTCGTTGGCTACGAGTTCGGAACCTTCGCCAATTTCGTAAGATCCAAGGGTTTTCCAAGGAAATAAATGATCATTTTTATACTTCAAATACAGTAATGACTCTTTCTGTTTCAGTTTATCGGCAACTGCTTCTCTCAGTGTTTGAACTTCTGTTTCCGATGTCATATTATCAATCTTGAAACCATGTTTTTCTCCTTCCGTATAATAGATAATATTTACGGAGAAAGCGCCAATTTCAGCTAGAAAAGATATACATAACATACATAATGTTTATGGACTCGTAATATATATTTATATGTTTTGATAATTACTTCGCTGTTGTGACAGAAATTTCATAAGTACGACAACACCAACCCGAGAATTTGCTTAACAAAAAACACTTGGCTTTAAGAAAATTAAAGAGCCCATTTTTATAGTGCATCGTGACTAAATTTTTAGGGGTTTTACTGGTTAACTTCTAACTGTTTATATTTTACTTAGGTGGAGTTTGTTGTACTCAAAAACACAACAATATACTCACTGGCGATGAAGACAACAACGAAAACCAGTAGCAACTTCATGTTTCTTAGTGAAGACTTGAAGACTGAAGTTTTCAGACCCAAAATACAGTCTTTTATACTAATTTTTATCAGATAGACTTGTACGATTTTTCATAATTATAGTAAAAATAGTGTACTATCGCACACAATTGTTGACTTGTTGCTTAAAAACAACAATTAAATGTACTGTTATAGTATTTATGTGATAACTAAAACGCACTGTCAAGTTATTAAAACGTTAATTTTCTAGGAATGATATGTTAATAATATTTGTGTAAGTAACTATTAAGTTCTACGCACTTTTTATACACGAAATTTTCGTCGAGCATGTGGTCATGTTTTTATTTTCTGCGGATAAGCCTAAAATCCTAAAGGTTCTAAAGTCCCCAATATTTCCAAACTCCCTAAAGCTTCTGTTTACGTCTCAAAAGTCTCAAAAATCCTCAAAGTTCCTAGAGCCCATAATGCTTCTAACGCCTCTAAAATCCCAAAAGTTTAAAAGAATGTTATAGTCCCTTGAATATTTTTTTAAAAATTTGAAAAGAATTTGATATTGAAAGTATCCAAAGTCTGCAGGTTTTTTAAAGTAGCAAACTTTATAAAGTTCTTAAAGACTAAAGTTTTTGATCCCCTGAAATCTAAAACCTCTCGCGCCTTCAAAATCTTAAAAGTTTCTAAAACCTCGGCCAAAGTGTTCAACATCTCCAAAGTCTGTTAAATACCTGAATTAAAAACAAAGCTAAAACCTCTAAGGTTTCAAAGGCTCCTGAATTTCGAGAAGTACCTAAAAACTCTACACTAAACTCTCTAAAGTTTCTAAACCTTGTTCTGAAGTCTCAAAAGTCCTGACGGTGACCGTCATCTTCTGATCTTGAAGGAATTTTTCTAAAGTCTCTAAAGTCTTTAAAGACTCTAAGGTCTCTAAAGTATGTAAAGGGACTCCGAGTTTTTAAGATCTCTAAGGTTTCTAAAATCTCTGAAGTCTCTACAATCTCTAGAATTTCTAAAATTGCAAAAATCTTAAAATCTCCGAAGTTTCAAGAATTTTTTTAAGTTACAATGTCTTTAAAATAACTAAAATCTATAACGTTCCCAAAGTCTGTAAAGTCTCTAATATTTATAAAGTCCGTAATGTCTTTAACTAAAATTTCTAATGTCTAAGTTTCTGAAGTCTTACAGTTTCTAGAGTCTCAAAAAACTAAAAATTTTGGAAATTTTAGATAAGGTCTTTACAGTCTCTAAAGCTTCTACAATTTCAAAGTTTTAAAATCTCCGGAGTTTCAATAGTTTATAAAGTCTCTAAAGTTTTTAATATCTCTAAAGTCTCTACAGTCCTTAAAGTTTCTGGAGTTTCAAAAGTTCTAACATTTCCTAAGTTTCAAGAATTTTTAAAACCTTTTCTAAAATCCCCAAGTCTCTAAAATTTCTAGTCTCTAGAGTTTCCAAAGTTTCTAAAGCCTTTTCTAAAGCGTTTAACGTCTTCAAATTTTTACATGTTTCTAAAGTTCTTAAAGATTGAAGCTTTCGAACCTCTGAAACCTCTAGGACGTCCAAAATCTCCAAGGTCTCTAAAACCTCTTCTGAGGTCTCTAATGCTTATTATGTCTGTAAAATAGCTAAATTTCGAAAAACTAAAAATAAACTTCTAAAGATTCTCCAACGATTTTAAAATTTCAAGTTTCCGAGGCCCCTAAAGTTCCTGATCCAATCCAATCTCTAAGGTTCTAGTCTCTAAATTTTTCAAAATTTCAAAAGTCGCTAATTCTTCATCTAAAGCCTTAAAAGTCCCGAGCATTCTTAATCCTAAAACTTCGAAAACTTTTGGAGTCCGTATCGTCTACTTTTTTGAAAGATTTTAAAAGAATCGTAGAGACTCTTCGTGTTTTAATTTTGAAAAAATTGGAAAGAATTTAAAGTCTCAAGAATATTTAAAGTCTCTTCTAAAGTATTTTAAGTTCCTAAACTTCTTAACAAATTTGACCTTCTGCCCTAGCGATTGTCGTGAAAAGTAATGTTTTTGTCTGTATCGTCTATTTGGAAGTCATTGGTGTTTTGATTTTGAAAGAATTTCAAGAATCTAAAGTGTCAAGAGTATGTTAAACCTCTAGAAGAGTCTCAAAACTTTCCAAAATTCTCAAAAATTCTAAGCCTCTACAGCCTCCAATGTCTCTGAAATTTCTAAAATACCGTAAGTCTCTAAAATCTCTAACGCATTTACAGTCTCTAAAATATCTAAAATTACCAAAAACGGTAAAATCTTTTAATTTTTGAAGAAAATTGAAAAAATCTTGGAGTCCGTAGCGTCTATTTTTTAGATAAGGTTGGTCTCTAAAATTTCTAGATTTTTTAAATCTCTAGGGTTTCTAAAATCTCCACAGTTTCTACAATGCCTAAAGTTTGTACCATTTCAGTCTTAAAATCTCCAAAGTTTCAAGAGTTTTTAAAGCCTTTTCTAAAGTCTCCAACGTCTTTAAAGTGTCCCCAAAGCGTCTAAAGTTCCTAAAGTGTCCAAAGTGCCTAAAGTGTCTAAAGTTCTGAAGTTACTAAAAACCCTAAAACTTTTATAGTTTTTAAGGTCCCTGAAGTTCCTAAAGCACCTAAAAACTCTAAAGCCTCTGAAGTCTGTAGGGGTTTAAAGTCTGCGAATTTTTTAAAATGTATAAATTCTCCAAAATCCCCATAGTCTCTGCAACTGATTCTGAAGCCTAAATATAAAATCTTTAAGGCTTCCAAAGCTTCTAAAGTCTGCAAAATCGCGAGAGTATTTAAAACCAAGTGTTGAAAGTTCCTAAAGTTGTTAAGGACCCTAAAGTCTCTAAAATTTATTAAGCCTCTAAAGCTTCTAGTGCCTTCAATGTCTATAAAATCTCTAAAATATCAAAAGTTCGTAAAAACTCTAAAACCCTTAGAGGTTCTCACTCCCTGAAGTTCTTATGTGCCCAAAAACTTTAAAGTTTCTATAGCTTCTAGGGCCGCTAAAATTTCTCGTCTCTGAAGTTTATGAAGACTCTGCAGTCTTCAAAGTGTCTGAACTCTCTGGAGTCTCTAATGTAACTAAAGTTTCTAAAGTCTCTAAAATCTAAAGTCTGTACAGTTTCTAAAGCCTCAAAAATTTTCAAAGTCTTCAAAGTCCCTAAAGTCTATAAAGTTTCTAGAGTTTCAAAAGTTGTAACATGTCCTAAGTTTCAAGAGTTTTTAAAACCTTTTCTTAAACCCCAAAGTCTCTAAAGTCTCTACAGTTTCCAAGGTTTCTAAAAACTCCAAGTCCTAGAATCTCTAATGTTTCAAGAGTTTTTAAAGCCTTTTCTAAAGTCTTTAACGTCTTCAATGTCTTTAACGCTACAAAAAACTGTATTTTTTTTGTTTAAACAAAGAATATTGGGACAACTTTTGTTTTGAATTAAAAATCTATAATCTGAAAGTATGTAAACTTTCCAAAGGGCATATAAAACATCATCGAAAGTTTTACATGTTTCTAATACAAAAATATCCATTACGAAAATATTAACAGAATTTGTTCACTTTTACTTAAAGTGATTCGTAAATATTCACTGTATTATCTGTTTATAGCAACAAAATGAAACTGTAATATTTTTGTGAAATATTATTTTAATCAATAGTAGTTAAAAAGCAAATTTAATTTTTATAATTACTCGTAATAAAATACTATTCGTCATTTTTGAGTTATTTATTTTACCTTATACATAGCTATGTACAAAAAAATGAAATAAATCTAAATTAAATATAAAAATAACACTATTCTGATATTACATCTGTACAACATAGTTGTCAAAACAACTAAAAGTAGATCATTTGATTAAAGTTTAAGATTAGATTGCACATCCTGTATACAAGAAGCGGATCTCTGAAGTTGAAGCATTTCCAAATCACTCAAACGTTGTACCACAACTTGAGATAGTCCATTTTCGCCTAAAACTACTGGTAATGACAAAAACACGTCATCTGTGATACCATGGTAGCCCTAAAAATTCAAAACAGAAAATTAATTCTTGAAGATGTGTGTAAAGCTTTAAATTTTAGGTAGGAAATTAAAATAAATCAATATTTTAGTTACAAATAAAGCTCTCGACAGTTGCTTTCATTTTGAATACATATGAAAATTTATTTCTATATTTTACTGCCTCTTTTGTGCGAAGTTTCAAATGCTTTTGTGGGATGTAAAAAAGTACTAAATCATTTTTAAGTAGTAAATATTAAAGGTAATTAAAAATGCAAGCAGACACGGGTTTCATAAAGCAATGCAGTAATAAACTGTTTTACTGGTTATATAACACATGACATTTTTTAAGGAATGTTAACTAACTACTTTTTGGCTCTTTCATTGCATTAATTTCACAAATATGTGAAAAATTTACAAAAAAAATTTCAGCACATGGTCTATGTATTTGCAAAAAAAAAATAAGTAACGAGTGATCAAAAAGTTTTGAGATTAGAGTTGGTCATGGAAATATTTGTCCTCTCTTTGATTAAAATGCAAATATTTCCATGGCTCACTCTAATCTGAAATCTAAAAAAAGTTCGCTCACATAAGAAGCTTATTGAAAAATGTTCTTTCTCTGATTCTTTAGACAAAATGTTATAGAATAGTATTATATACAAAAAAAGTATTCTATTATAGTAAATTTTAAAAATGCATTTTTCCCAGTGATGTTACGACATTTTTAAACCACAGCAAGCCATGGAAATCTAGTGAGTTGGTCACCTAAAGTTTCTTCCGAAAGACATTCTTTTAGTCACCTATTTAAAGATATGAATTTTGTCGGAAACGTAACCATTACACCGCTTAAATATCATCAAGAAACATTATTATTAAACTAATTAATTCAATATTCAGAAGTTAGTAATTTTATTGAATATAAAGAGTTCTGTTGCGGGCTCCAACAAGAGAACACAATTTAAATTTTTAATAAAGCAAAAAAGTTGCAGAAATTGGCAAATTGTTCCATAATTATATACTAGAAAATTGTTATTTTTTCTAAACGTTTTTATCAAATAGAAAATGTGGGTTGTTTGTCTAACTGCACCGAATCATATGGTGCATTGTCCATTACCACCACACACTCTCGTTGCAATTAAAAATATACTGATTAACCAGCCAATTTTGAAGAAGTGTCCGGTCCATTGTTTTGTAGTAATCTGTGTAATTTTTCGAATTTAATAAAAAGTTACACCGTTTTAAAAAGCTTGCTTAGCTTTTATGTTTTTTGTTTCTACACCCTTTGATTTAATTAATGGTGCACCTTTCGAATTTATAACAACTATTTTTCTTATTATATCAACTGTCAATTAAAAATCATAGAGCAAAGTATACGACCGCATTTAAACAAAAGATCAAATATTTTGTATAATCTGTTATTGCTACTATTATTATTTTCCGTTTTAATGTATTCTTTACTATACCTTAACGTCAACTGACGCAGCGTGGATATTAAAACTGTTTTTGAGAATACTGTGTGCCAGCGATGCAGAGCTTAGACCTATGGCCCAGTTTGTATAACCCTTCAACTTGATAACTTGATAAGCAGAATCTACAACATTCCTGTGCACTTCTTCCCATTTTTCAAGATCTTCTCGTGTTCCTACCACTGGGTTTATATCACGTATACGAACTCCAGCGATATTCACTCCAGACCACACCGCAACTACAAAAAAATTCAGTCTTTAATAAAATACAACATGTACATCTGTCCAAAAAATTGTCGTAAAGGAGTTTAAAGTGTGACAATAAAGTTAATCTAGACTTTTATGATTTTTTTACAGTATAACCTACCACTACTGTCTCCATGTTCTCCAATAATCCACCCATGACAACTACCTGGAGCAATTCCAAGTCTTTGGGACATCAGGAATCGGAATCTTGAAGAATCAAGATTAGTTCCTGATCCAATGACCCTGTTTTTAGGCAATCCGCTCAACTTCCAAGCAACGTAAGTTAGAATATCGACAGGATTGCTTACGATTAGTAAAATTGTGTTTGGTGAGTATTTAACTAGATTTGGTATCATGTGTTTAAAAATATCAACGTTTCGCTGAACTAGATCTAAACGTGATTCTCCTTCACGTTGACGAGCCCCTGCCGTTACTATACAGAGCCGTGATCCAGCAGTGGCAGCATAATCTAAAACAAATTATAATTTTTTAGTCTTCGTATCATTAATTTCGTTATTAAATAATTAAAATCATTGCAAGCCAGGACAAAAGTACTGGTATTTGATTATAATTCCCCAGCTTTCAAGGTTTAATTAGTTCGAATTTTTGGTATCAACACGTTTTTAACCTTCGAAATAACAAGGTAAGTATTTCAGAAGGCCATCATAATAAAAGTCTCCTTTCCTGGAACGAACGCACATTCAACTCTTACGATAAATTAGAATAGCATAACTGCTAATTTGAAAATTAATAACAGATGCTTGAATAACAGGTTGTTCAAACATTTAGGAGCATCGAATTATAAAGAAAATCGTTTTCTGGAATCTATAACTGGCATACCTAACTAAATGTCTGAATTAATTTTTCTGTATCTGAAATCTTTTATGTCTAAAGATAGGCGAAAATAAGTTTTGGTCTCCAACCACTAATCAAACAATCACTTACCAGTACTGGCGTTGATTTTGGGGTTTTTTAGAAATAACGATCCATGTTGTAGGTCTAACATTTCTCCTCTGAGTTTATTTTTTTCAGAGTCGAGAAGAACAACATCATGTGAGATTCCCTAAAACAGGAAAATGTAATACTCTTAGATACGCCAAAAGTATTTCTCTAAAAATTACTTGAGCTAGAATACTGAATGTTACTGCCATTCCCACTTGACCAACACCCACAATTGTTACTTTATTGTCACTGTAAGAATGTGAGGGCGCCACTGCCACTTCTGAAAGAAGTGCACTTTTCGTTTCAGATACATCTAGAACAAGAAAACAGTAATAATATCAGAAAACATTTATATACAAGAACGTTATCAAAAACAATAAACATGATCAGGCACTGATAAGTTTATATATAGATATACCGGTAGGTCCAAAATGGGTCCAACTTGGTTTTGAGCTTAGTCAATAAATTCAAATAAGCACTGAACATCGTTAATGCACAGGTATGTTTCAACAATAGTGGGTTTTAAGACTGTGTTTTGAAATAAAAAAATTGAAGACTGTTTAAATCTTGAGTTTGATAAGATTGATATAAGATATAAAAAAATATCACATTACAAATCAGAGATGGCTCACAGCCAACTATGCGATGTTTACTTTTATCTTATCGACTCAACCATGTGCTTGTCTGTGTTGAGGATGAGTGTACATGAACGACTTATGTGCAAAATCTTAAGCTATTACAACTAAAGAAATAGGATTACTTACTTAACTGTATATTTCTTGTAAAATTAAGTACCAAATTACTACAATTTTGTAGACCTCGTATGCTTTTACGAAACATTAGTTACAGTTGTTCTTGTTTTTGTATTAAGAAACCTGAAAAAAAAAGTTAAACTTTTTAAATTCCATTGTTGTTATAATAAATGTGCCTAGCACATATTTTTTTATTAAAATAAATGTCACAGTTAACACAGTAATTTCATAACTGATAATAGCACTTCCGTTATCCAGATGCAGCTGTAATAAGTTCAAAATTGATATCGTAGATCTTATCTACGAGTGATTCACTTTGTATTTTGTTCATGGTCTTGATGCTGGACTTTATATGTACAAAGTTGTACATGTTATTTGAAAATATAAAATCAGTGTGCACTTTACTAGTTCTTTAGGTAAAAACAGAAGTGATTAAACTAGTCCTACAGGTATATATTAAGTAATAAATAAAATAACAATTTATAAGTGGAGTAAAATAATTTCTTAAATTTGTGCCATGGTTTGAATAAACTTCGAAATTAATAATACAAAACTGATATAAAACAACAAAATAACTATATTGCCGCATAATAATCTAAAAAAATAAAATATTAAAACTATTTTACCAGAAAAATTAAAATAGAAGTGGAAATTATATTACTTCTCATCAATATTTTGACAATAAAACAACAAATTGTTCCGCATTATAAGATAATACAGTTTTTATTTTATTCTTATTTATTAAAAAGTTAAACATCGGGAATTAAAATATTATTCTTTGACTTATAATTTGACACCACATACCTTTTAATTTTATTATGAAAATTTGACATCACAACGGTACAATTTAAACGAAATAATTTTATTAAAAAAAAATGCAAGTATATGAACTACCGCTTCTCAGTCTGTACCACAATAGTATGAACTTATTTACAGTGTGTATAAAACACTCTAGAACAGTTTTGAAAATAATATGAATATTCTAATAAATGCAAAACTAAACATTTTTTTAAAAATATCAAAATCAAAATTATAAATCACTTACCGTGGATAATTTCCAGAAGTTACAATCGACTGTCACAGAATTAATGCACTTGTCTGAATGTTGAAATTAAAGGTAAACTCTAGAAATGCTACCTTTATATGTCAAATCAAACTTTTTTACTGCGCAGGTCAACAAAATTTGCAGTCAAAAAATGTATAGGGAACCCCATCCAACTGCATGTGCGCAACAGTGATAAAACTTATTTAATGTGCGATATGAGTGGAAGAAATTTTAAAAACCTAGGTGGTTACGCAGTTTTCTCCACACAAAACAATAAAACCGACGCAGATTGCTACAATCTTCAAGCAAGACTACATTACGACACGGTTTTAAGATTTTGATTTGATTTATACTAGATACCTTTCCGGAACATATTTATTGGAGCAATTTTTGACATTTTACAGACCGTCTTTCTCTTCTAATTTATTTACTTTAAACTTGAATGAAATTGTATTTTGAATGGGTGAACATTTTTATCATGACTACTTAATTACTACTTGATGGCCGAAATTGAATGCTCTTACACAATAATCTTTCCACGAAAATTATCTCAGGATGTATATTATGACATATAAAATAATAGTGACACAAATAAAAGAATAAACAGGTAAGGAAATGTGATAGATATTTTGAAAGAAGCAACTGATTTCATAACACCTTATTGAAAAGCAAAAGATAAAGTACTTATTTTTACACAGTTTTCAACAAATTATATGCACTTGTAAAGCCTGTCTTCACAATTTAAGTAAAACATCACTCTGACGTTACGTTTAGGCAAACTTAACTATGTATGTACTATGTTACTAGGAACTATGAATGTAAAGTAGAAGTGAATATATATTTCTCGTAATCAGCAAGTCAGCTGACCGAATTAGATACAAAATAAATCCATAAACCCATTTATATTTACTGAAAATATCGTAACGTAATAATTAATCAAAAGTGGAACGGGAAAATATGAAAAAAATTTGAGCCAGCTTGCTCAATCATGCTATCTATAGTATTTTCCCAATCTGTTGCTTCACAGCTAAGTCCTCCATCCAAATTGATAGGCCGACGGAAACGGGAAACCTGCTATTCCCAACTAGGGGTTATGAAATGTAGGTTATCATCTGGTAATAATAATTTTCATTATTAATTGTATTTGTTTGAAGTATTTTGTTTTTATGATTTGGTTATTTTACGGTCAATATTCATTGGTATATTTTATTCGTTTCATAAAGCAATCTTGTAGTTTTATACAAGTACATATGTACGTGCAAGACCACCAGAATAGCGAGTTATTTTAACAAAGAGGTGAGAAACGTTGATTAGAAAAACAAAAGTTCATCACATTTGTCCTGCCCTTTAATCAGGATGTCTCAAAATTAACTAAAATAAAAATGCACACCAGCCATAGACTACATCAAAATTTTCAAAAAGACAGAAAAATGCTTGCCAATGATTTTATTTATTATACATGTGATTTTTTAACCATTTATTTATAGCATTAGACATTTTTTTTTTATTTCTTTCTCTTTACTTATAAAGCAAGTGCTTTTAAACGTTCTTCACATACGATTGATCGAAGATATTTCTTTATTAATTTAAATTAAATGTAAAGAAAATATTTCTTTGTCTAAAATTGCGTTAAATTTAGCATTTGGTGTTTAATTTAGTAGCAAATATTTTCGAAATCATCTTGACACATGATTCTGAATTGTCATAATTTAATTTTCTGACGTACGTTCGTTGGATTGAACTGTTTGCTGTAAAATTTTTGATGGATCTTAGGAATATGGTGTAAAATGCTAACCAAATTATCTATACTTATATAATAAAGCTGAAGCTGTTGTTTATTTGAACACGCTAATCTCAGAAACTACTGGTTCAAATTCAAAAAATCTTTTTATGTTGGATAGTCCATGTATCATATCTACATATAGGCTATATAACATCACGCTACGATCATTAGAAGCGAAGTAGCACTGAAAAATTCGGAAAAACGGGAAAATTATTCCTCCTTTGACAGCTTCCGTTGCTTACGCTGCTTAAACGGTTAAAGTTACGTAAAAATCATGTATGACGAAATTGTTCCCCTCTAAAAGTTCTAAAGAAAACTCCGCGACAGCATATGTCTATCTTTTAAGGTCGAGTCAGTATAACCTTTTTTATGGTAATGAAATTTGTTCTAAAATAATAATGCATTATTACCTTATGTATAAAATTCTCGCGTCACTGTTTGTAACCGAACTTCTCCGAAGTGGGTTGACCGATTTGTATGAAATTTTTTATGTATATTCGATAGGTCTGACAATAGGTTGTAAACTATTTTTTTGCACTCATGACCTTTTTTGATAGCTTTCGCGCATTCACCAGAGTGGGGGAGGACGAACTTCCCGCACACGTGCATTTAACTTCCCGTTGCCATGGTAACCTTAAAATACTCGGGTAGTGTCAACATTGTGACGTGTTGACAGCGCTGTCAATGGCGTTGTTTATAAATAACTCACAGTTAATCTCTTCAGTTTAAAGGTTTATTCGTCGCAAAAAATATTGTACACAACACGTTCGTGAGCCTGCTTCCCGCATTCACGCAAATGCGGCACTCCCTTCGGTCGTGCCTCAAACAAGCGTTCATGCGGGAAGCAGGCTATCCCGAACTAGTTGCGTAAATTACTATTTAAACCCCTAAGTGATAAGGGTGGCCCACCCTAAAAAATTTTTGTCTATTTTTTGGACAAAATTTTTTATTTTTATTTTTTTAAGATTTGGCATCAAAAAATACACATAACCCTAAACTTTCACCAACCCCCATTTTTTAATCGTCTATAAAATAAAAATCAATTGCTGTTCTCCTGTTAGTCTCGCTAAGACTCAAAAACGGCTTGACCGATGTGAAAATTTTTTTATATTACGGGGATGGTTTATAAATAAAAAAATAAGGATAACTTAAAAGAACAGTTAAAAAATAAAAAAATTCTAAAAATTTTGTATGGGAATCGCCACTTCCAATTAATTTCAATAGTTGGCGTTTCTGACGGACCTGTCGTCTAACTGACGTGTCATACAAAACTAATTCTTCCGTGCGATTGTGAAAAGTATATTGCATTTCAAATCGTTCTTTGTTTTTTCGTAAAAAAAAACGTCGTTTATTTTAAGAAAAGTCTTGGTTAAAGTAAATTTAATTACACATTGCGAAAGTTTCTTATTCATTTTGATCTGCCATTCTATTTACCTATATTCACTTTGTTGGTTTCGACAAAACCTCAAACTTTACCGTTATTCGAGGATTTAATTTGAAGTTTTCAATATTTTAAAATTCTCAAGACAAAATTTACAGATTTGATTGACTGTGAAAATAATTCTGTGTCGTTTTATGACGTTCATTAAAATGCCGAGAAGACGACAAGCTCACATAGGTCCACGAAGTCAATCAAATGTGCGACGAACTACCTCAGGTGCAAACCGCAATGATTTATTTCATGGGTAATTCGGATATGGAAGTTGATCAGCGTTGTGCTCATAATCAACATAATCAAACAATGAAGCGAGACATTGGGTGGTATGAATAAAACTGAATAGATACTCATATTCAAAGTACGAAGTACCTACTTCATTATTACTCTTACATACCTGAGCATCTACTCTATGTACTGAGTACCTACTTGGAAACATTGTATCTCTCCGGACACAAACTGAACATCTACGCGTTTTGTGAGCATTTAATCTAGAAATGAGCATCGGCGTGGCAAATAACTGAGCTGTCTGTAAAGCAGCTTAGAAAACCAGTAGGATCGTTGTAAGAGTGAATTTTAACTAAACATGGTGACTTTCATGAATGTGGAACGTCGTCAAAAGGTGCATTCAGTTTGAAAAACACATTAGGAGCAGGAATATCGAAAACTTTTCATGTAATTAACTTTTATTTATGCATAAATTGTGCAGTACTTATACTTTGGTGACTCGATTTTTGCCTTGATGGTTGAACACTGTCACTGTTGTCATTTTTTGTTGTATCGAGATGCTACTTGAGCATCAACTGTTACTTACTGAAGTATTAGTATCATCTAGAAAAACTAGAAATATTTTGATTTGATATTCGAGTAGATACTTCGTATTTCGAGGATGAGCATCTACTGAGTTTTATTTATATCAACCATTGTCAAAAAATTGATTGAACGATTCCTTCGCACTAAAATTATAATGAAACATATTCAGCATTTTCGAGTTGAGTCTTTTCTTCACACAATTTTGTGATGACCTAATCAACATTTACTATCAACACGTATACCACCTTGGATTGGTGCAGTGTAATACTAAAAATAACTGTATTGCGTTCCCAAAATTATCTGCGAAAATCGAGTGAGCCATTCCATCAATTTTTTGGGGGGATAAATAAATATTCTTAACAATTTACCATGCTTACAATAACTTTAAAACGTCTGCAAGATCTCAAAGTATTCATTTTTGCAACTCTTGAGTTATTCACTAAAATAAATTGACTGATCTATATATTTTTTTGAGTCACTGTAAAAGCAAATCTAAAAAATATGAATGCAATGATAAATTACGAAAATATACTGATGATATTTTCCACATTTTAGATAGGATTTATTCGGCAAAATCTTGAGATGACGTCTTCAAGTTTTTGGGCTTGATAAACAGATATATATATTTTGATTGAAAACCTACCATGTCAAACAATAACTTCAAAACGTCTGCAATATTTCAAAATTCAGTTTTGCAATTCTTGATTAAATCAATAAAATAAATTGACTCAGTGATTAATTTTTTTGAGACACCCCCTATAAGCAAAACTAAAAAATATGAATGGAATGATAAATCACAAGTATAGTCTCATCCTATTTTGGACATTTTAGATAGGATTCATTTGGCAAAATTTTGGGCTGACGTCATCAATTTTTTGGAGAAGATAAGTAAATATATTTTGAATAAAAATTTCTTATGCTTATGATATGTTTAAAACATCTGCAAGATTTCAAAGCATTCGATTTTGCAGATTCAAAATTAAATTGTAGGTGAAACGAAGTTCACGGGGTCAGCTAGTGCTTTTATATTAAGCTAAATGTTTGAGTTGTGATAATCACAGATATAAATTAGCATTCATAAACAGAATGACCAAATAACTTGAAAGATGCGCTGAATGATTCACTTAAATGCCACTTGCATCAATTGAATGACAAAATGGTCAAATTCCACGTAATGTTACACACTATATTTATATTTATCATGTT